TTAATGGGTGGCAATTATAGGATAATTAAAATATATTTGTTAATGTGAATATGGGTGGCAATTTTATTATATATTTGGATATTATGGTAACCCAAAAAATATGTGTAGAAAAGTTGCTTGCCTATACACACTAAATTGAAAGAAAAAAAAAATAGTTGGAAGGAAAAAAAAGTACTCATTACCCACTTGGCCAAATGAACAAATTTTATTCATTCTCAAATCTAAATTCCATGGAATCAACAAAATCTAATAAAGAAACTCTCAAAATCGAGCTACGAAAATGTTCAAACTTAGTAGCAAATACTCAAACACATCTAGAGAGCGTTCAAACATAATTAGAAAAATCAATACCTACAAAATAACTCGATCGTATCTAGTACAAGAAGGGTGATAGATTTAAAGAATGTAATAATTTTAAAAGATAAAAAATTTATTTGAGAAGAAGTTTAGGATATATGGGTTTGAGGGCATGATTCATTATATTGATTCCCTGTTTTGTTAATTGTAGTATAGATATGAGTGAGACGTGGCATTGGGCATTTGAATGACAAGAGGGGCTGTGTTTTCTTAACCAAAATCTGATGTTTTGCATATTCCCAACGATATTGGGTTTGAATTAGGCATTATTCTTTTCCCTCTTTGGATTTTTTTGGTTTTTACCTCAAATTTAAAAGCATCTCAATAGTCAATTCATTGACACACCCACTCTTTTCCTCATATATCACTATATATCTATTTTTAAATATCAGTGACTGTCTTAAGTGGGTAACCGCCTGACTTAACTACATTTGGTTGTTGAGAAAATACGTAAAATATTAAATCTTGGGAAGGTGTGACTACTATGGAGTTTGAACTCGTTCCCTATACCTATAATGGTTAAATTAAAGGAAGAAGTTGCCAAAGCGAGTATAGCTCAACGGTAATTGACATATACCTCCAACCAAGAGGTTGTGAGTTTGATTCTACACCCCACATGTTGTACTTGTTTATGAGTTTATGATGTGAAAAAGGGTTAATCAAATTAAAATTAGATTTAGGTATTAAAATGATTTTGAATTTTTTTTTTAACTTAGATCATTTAATTTGGTTACCACTCTTAAAAATGATATTTGAAAGAAGAAAAAAAGACATGAAATTTGTTCCATATGTCAAACAAGAGGCATATCACAATTTAAGTGTCTCTTGTTGTTGGAGGTTTGCATGGACATAAGAATTGTTTCCTTAGTTTTAGAAAGACTTTGACATTGTCAAATTATAGGATTTAATTAATTAATTAAATATATAAACCCTAAACAACTACTACACAGCAACACCATTTAAAAAGCTGCAGCTGTTACTAAAAATACAAAAACGAAAAGGTACATAATTAACTACTACACAAATATAACATTAATATATTTGAAAATTTTTAAAAATATACAGATAGAATTATTAGGTGAAATATGTGTTTTGGTTAAATTTTTAAATTATTTTTTTTATTTAGTCCCTATCGATTAAATATCTCAAATCATTTTTCATACATTTTAACATCGGATTTCAATTGTATTCTTTCTGTTGTTGGTCAATGATATTTAATGAGTTGATAGAAATTTATGGGGTGAATTGGACAATTCGAAAAGGTTTTATTTTTTCCCTCAGAAGTTGGCAAATTTTTTTTTTTACCTTTTTCTTCCATTAATGTTATCTAAATTTTTTCTCGAAATTTTTGTATATTATATATGAAGCTTAACTACCGGTCAACTTTAACATTCACCAATTAAGATGGTATAAATAGAAGATATTAAAATGTAAGAGACTTAATTGAAAATTTTTAAATAATACCTACTAAATTTCAATTTTTTTTTTTAATCAATTAGTGTGTATATATGTATTAGGATGGAGAAAATTCACAAATTCATCCAAATGACAGAGCCAAAAGCAACTTGAGGCAGTTGAGCTCACATCACATAAAACACACATGTCACACTTAGAATTTCAAAGCAGAAAGCCGGCAATGAGAAAGCTTCTAATAGCTAAGAGCCAAAATAATGTTCTCTAATTTTCATGATGTATTTTTTATTCGTCTCTCTAATTAAACTACTCCTAAACAAATTTAATTAACCCTCTCTCTCACTCGTGGGCAGCTTAAAAAAAATTAGCCCATAAATCTAACAAGTAACTATCAAACACATAAAACCTTCCATTCCGATACCATATTATATTATTATAGTTCTGCCAATAAAACCCAAAAATTTTAAGCTAATAAATTACGCTATATTTAATCGTTTATTCATATTCGGGAAATTTCCTATCCCTTTCCCTGCTCCAATCCATAAAACCCTAATTCCATTCCATGTTCATATTTGTCTGTTAATTGTCCTATCTTTTCAACTAGATTATTCTCTCAATTTAGATCTCTGTATTCTTGTCGATGGATTCAGAGAAATTACTAGGAAGCAGCTCGGATAGTTCAAGCGAGGAACAAGAATCTGAGGCAATAATAAAGGCAGATTCAGAATATTGTTTGACCAACAAACGTTCATATGGATGCATATTTTGCAAGAGGGGATTCACCAACGCTCAGGCTCTTGGTGGCCACATGAATATCCATAGAAAAGATCGAGCCAATAAGCCTAAACAAATCACCACCTCCTCTTCTTCTTATTCTTCATCTTCTTGTGTTCCAAGCAAGCAAATTGAGGATTCCAACTTCATGAACACCCTCTATTTTGGGCGACCACGGGTCGATTTTGAAGAATCGGGTTCAAACCCACGTGGTTACTTCCAAGAACTTGGAGATTTGAATAAGAAGCAAGAGCTTTGGGGGTCAGATTTGAGCCTACAAATTGCGCCAAGTAAGGGGAGGATCAGGAGGGGAACAATTTGGAACAACAATGGCGAGGGACTGGATTTGGAGCTTCGACTTGGCCATGATCATCACTATTGAATTATATTATGCTATCAGGGGTATTGAATTTATCCTTCGTAAATCTTTATGATCAATACAAAGCTGACTTTAATTTTCTGCTTTATTGGGTTAATGTATGTATCATGCCTTAATTGAGTAAAAAGTGATGATATGGATTGTATTTTTCATGGATTAGGGTGGGTGTTCTTTGTATTGTGTAATTGAGTAAAAAGAATTGTAATTTGCTAGTGGGTGTTATTGATCAAGAAATTGTGATAGATAAAAAAGATTGCATTTGCTTATCTATATATTATATGGTTCTTAAGAGATGTTTTAGCTCACATTTTAATAAGCATGGATTTTTACAGAGGATGGAGTACTCTTGGTTGATTTGTGTTTAGAATCTAGATTGTGTGTTGAAAACGAGTTAATGAAGTTTGAATAATGTATATGTTTTTGGTTAGTGGATTTGCAATTTGTAAAAGAGTAGGTGTGTGACGTTCGAGTAGAAAGGAGGGGTACATGTATGAATAAACTCATACCACATCTCAATGAGAGGGATCTTGAGACCATAGAAAAATGGTCAAGAAAGGATTAAAAGAATTAATAGTCACTATCTATACAAGGTGTACCTTCCTTCTCGGTAACTCAATCATAAAACTCCAAAGTTAAGCGTGCTTGACTTATAGGACAAAACATTAACATCTATGAATTCAAGTATGATAAAACAATCTTTTCATTTATGTTTTGGAATAAATTAGGAATGATAACAAGAAATATAAAAACTTGTTTTGGTTATTTCCAAAATTTCTATACAATGTTGAGAATGTTAAAAAAAAAGGAAAGAAATAAGAAATATAGTTGATTGCAAAATGTTTAGATTTCTTAAAAAAAAAAATTGAAAACATAAAAAACAGACTTTTATATTTTCAATGTGAAATTTTTAACATATCCTTTAAGATGGTGGCACACTCGTTTGAGCTTTTGAACTTTGATATTATAAGAATATTCATAGCTAATTGATCTCAACCTATTGGTTGGAGATTACTTGCTTTCTTTCACAAGATTTCATTTATATCTTTCAAAAAGTTAATCGATTGTAACAAATACTTTCAAGATAACATAAAAAAAGGAAAGAGGTGAAACTCTTGATTTGTGTGGTGATTGATTAAGGATGAATTTATGAACTTAATACATAATTAATAAAAATATGTTGATTTAAAACTAAACTTCTAAAATTAAAGAAAATTCAAATAACTTTTCTCCAATACCAAAAAAATGAAGTACTTTCGACACATCTATTATAGAACTCCTCTTCAATTATGAATTAAATGTTAAAATGTGTTAATGCTGGTTTCATATAATTTTCATCTCAACAATTAAATCAATGGACTAATCGTAATTATTTGGACACAGAGGACATCAGAGTTACCCTGAGATCAAGAACTTGGACACCGCCGCCTCCTCATATTTGGATCTTGAACGCTGATGCAGCTTGGTCGGAACAGCGCCAAGTGGGTGTCTTGGCTGGATTTTGAGGAACTCGAGTGGCGATGTCATCCTATAAGGTAGCCGTTTTGTGGAGAAGAAGCAGAGCATAAAAATTCTTGAGGCATTAACAATTTTGGAGGGTTTGAAGCAATCTCGGAACATGGTTGCCTACCCGATTCAAGTGGAATTAGATTCTTTAGAAGTAATATCATTGCTGCATAATGAAAATGAAGACCTCACAGAAATTGTGGGATGGTGAATGAAATCCTATGCATGCAGGAACGTTTGAACATTTTATCTTTTATTAAGGTGGATAGAACAACAAATGCATGTTCATTCCATTGCAAAGAGAGTTTGCAATTTACAAAGAGAGTGTTATTTCGGATGTAACTATTCTTGATTGGCTTGATACTTTGGTCCAACGTAGCAATTTCTTTTGTTTGTTTTTTTTTTTAAAAAAATGACCTAATCGTAATTTTGTTCCAGAAAAAAAAAAAGGACTAATCTTGATGATCTGAACACTAATTTTAATCTTGGGTTGGGCTCTCTTTTTTTCTGAAGACATGGGTTGGGCTCATTTAAAGAATAGCAAAAGGGAACAGTCAATATTTAAGGAGTGGCCCCAATTCTTACCAAATTCAATAAACTATCATCAATTTATATTTTAAATCTATTTTACAGTGTAGAAAAAAAAAGGGGGGGAATAGCTTCTGTGCGACCATAAAATTTATCCATGAGTTAACAATTAAATATAAATACTCTTAATTGTATTTTAAAATTCACAATATTTGGCTTCCATTTTATAATTATCATTCAAGGTAGAGCCTGAAAAAGAACAAAAATAAATCATCAATATTATAGTATCACAATTTCAAAGACTCGATCTTATAGAAAATTTTAAATGTCGTTATTGATAGAAATGTCAAGATCTCAATTTCATGTAAATATCGATAAAATGTCAATGTCGATAGATATTTATGTACAAATTAGAGAAAATAAAAAAGATCGAATTTCTAAAAAGTTCAAAATTATTAATACTAATATTATGTATATATTAGTGACATTTTTTCGATTTGTCAATTTATCCCTCATGTCGATATCGAATTTGTAGATATATGGATATGTCGATGGTAATGTCGATGGACATTTAATACCATGATCTTATCCAAAATGGAAAAAGAAAAGGGCATAAAAACATTTTAAAACTTTTATATTTTTTTAAAACCAAGAAGCACCAGTGGTCTAGTGGTAGAATAGTACCCTGCCACTGTACAGGCCCGGGTTCGATTCCCGGCTGGTGCAAATTTTTTCCCCTTTTTTTTGGGTTTTTCTTTTCGGGTATTTTTGGTGGGTCCACTTTTGGGGAAAAAAACAAAATAGGCCTTCGCCCGTGTTTGACGGAGAAGTTAGCGAATCCATTTTCGAGACACGTGTCGGTGTAACATCGACATCCCAATTTGATTTCTCCACGTCATATGTGGGGCCGACAATTCGTTCTATGAGTTCCAATTTTAAATTTTTGATAATTTTTTTTAATACAACGTGTGAACTTATAATTTTAAGTTGGAGATATATGTCAATTATTATTGAGTTATGTTCGCTTTAACTTCAATAAGTTTCTTAGTTTGAATAACCGATAAAAAAAATTTGTTATTATACTTTCAATGTGTTATTATAAATCAGGTACAAAATTAATGGTGTTTCAGAGACAAATAATTTAGAATTGGACTTTTTTTTAATAGAGTTATTAATTAAAAGTTTACTCTGATGCTTTAATCCAACTTAATTTCATATAAATCTTGTGTGAGTTATTTTAGGTTTTACATTGAGTTTTGTTCAAAGGAGTGGGTTAATTAATAGAAATTGAATAGAAGGTAAAAACTACTACACTTATCTAAGTCTAGCTAGAATACGATTTTGATGAAATTAGAAATTGAGTAAAATTTGATACCCTTGTTGAGTTTAGGAGTAAAGAATTAACTCTTAAAAAAATTATATATCTAGTCCAAACATTAAGATGACATATTTATTGAATAAACATTTGTTAACTTAGTCTAACTTGATTAAAGAAGATACATATTAAGATTAATTTGTGAGTGGTGCTTTTAATATGGCAAATATTGGGGGTTGGTTGGTGGATTCTACTTCCCAACTTGGATCAATCATTCACCAAATTAATGACTTTTTCTCATACACCAAACAAATACAAAAACAGAAGAAGAATCCAAATCCAACCATGTTTTCTTCATCAACCTCACTTCACTTAATTATTATACCTAACGAATAATTCATAATGGCTTCTCCATCAATTTTATTGTTTCATCTTAATTAATTAATTATAAGTGTGCCACGTGAAGGGGCCCTCCTCCCATTTATTATACCTTCAACCAAAGTTATTAGTGAAGTTGATTTTGTTTAGGTGAAAAATGGCATGCTCATCCATTTATGGAAACTTTTTTCTTTTCTTTTTTTGAGAAAATATGGAAATTTGTTTGAGAGAGGGAAAATACAACCGTTTAATGTGGGTCGTTTTATAATATTTTATTTTCACGCGTGTTAAAAAAAGCATATAACCTAAAGTTATTTTAAACTAAACATGTTTAATTGTAATTATTATAAATAAAAAATATATATTCTTTTCTTTTCTCTTTCTAGTGTAGCATGAAATGGAGTTACAATACTTGTGTATCTTAATTACATACATTATTTATCTTAAACTTTCCTAATTCTACGATTGCAAGGTTCACAATTTTAGAAATCTCTAATCTTTTTATATCAATTTATTTATCTTTTTGGCCTAAAGACATGTGAGAGTAATTTTCTTGGTTTGTGTTTTTTCCATTGCTCTTTGTCCTTGTCGACAACCTTGGGTGTCACAAGATCCCTCGCATATGGGTCCACCCTCCATGACTTTCAAAATTAGGGTTCTATATAACTTGTCTCGATGAAAAGGGACAAAACCCTACCTCAAAAAAAAATAAAAATAAATTACCAACGAGTTGAACGGAGATTTGAATCTCTAACCTCATACTAACTTATTTTATGTCAATAACCTTTTAGGTGAAGATGTATGTCAATTATCGTTGAGGTATGTTCGTTTTGACTACATAACATAATAATTTTGTCAAAAAAATGTTTGTTTATTACACTTTTTCATTTGAAAATTTTGTCTACCTGAATTTTTTTTAACGGGTTAAGACACATATATATATATCATCATCAACAAAAAATCAGAGGTAGAAACTCCCACAGCACAAAATTGAAATTTCAGTTCAGGAGTATAGAATTAGCCAAAGGTTTAAACCAATCCTTTATTTTATTTTATGCATAGAAAATACATTAAAAATATGAATTATTATTAATCTCCAATGACAAATGCATTTTCTTTTGCTCTTCACAAGGTAAATAGTCAGTTTCAATTATTAACATATAATTTGAGGCATTTTCAACAACTTGACAAAAAAAGTCAAATTTTCTAAAGTAATTATGGACAGCTGCAACTAGATGAGAAGAGACACACATCTTTAATCAATGATGTACATGCTGAGTTTATCACAATAATTATGATTTTTTTCTGACATAATAGAAAATAAATCATTATTAATTGAGAAATTTCATAAAATATCACAACTTTCATTTTCTTAAATATAGCATTATTTTGACTTTCTTTTTTTATTGTAATTTACTTGGCAAAGTTTTGAACTTTTTGTCATATTTTTAAAAATATATATTTATTTCCTGTTATTTATGTAATTAACATGGGATAATATATTTGCAGACAAAATAAATTGATAGGTAAAAGAAATGTTCTCTCCTACCGACAGAAGTGGATGGTGATAAACCAAAATTTCAACTTTGATCGTCTCTTTATCAAAAATCCCTTTTGAAAAAAAAATATATATATATAAAAGTTATATTTCTATTGCTTTCACACGTGTTTCTTTTTTTATTATTAATTTTGAACCTAAGCTTTAAAACTCAACTTTTATAATAGTTTCCGATGTTGGCATAGTAGTAAGAGGCTTGCGTATTGACATTCAAGATCCAAATTCGAACCCTCCTGTATTTGGAAGTAAAAGAAAAATATTAAAAAAAAAACTCAACTTTTATCTACAAATAAAATAAACTCCAATTTGGTGGATTTTTAAACGAAAACATGAATATAATTGTTTTTACTCCTGGATATTAGAAAATTTAACTCCATGAAGTCAAAAAAAAAAAATTATTGTACTCATAAGAAAATATGGACATAAGTAAATGTTTTATTATACTTTGCTTTTTTTCTTCATAAAAAAAAACATTTGCTAATTAAATCTTTATTTTTCAAATAGTTGAAATTAACAATTGGCACAAAATGGGAGAAACCATGCATATTCTTGTTTTTTATGTTGACTTTTTTGTATGGAGCTTTAGTCTAAAATTTCTATCTTTTAGATCAATCTAATCCATTGGTTTAATCTACTTAATTTTACTATTATTTAGAAATAAAAAATGCAATGTCAAAAGAAGTATAAGAAATTTTTAATTGCATAATAGAAGGTGTGACGTGTGTGTGCAGTGTCTCTGATAGTACATAACATGTTTGATCAAATTAAATAGGACTGGTGTGGTGCTCTGTCAATGCAGTTTAAAACTTAAGTCAATAGCAATTCGAACGAGGAGAGTTTCAGGTTGGTGCAAAAAATTGCATGCCTTGTTAAAAGTTTTGGCTCTTTCTTTTTTATTGAAGAGTAATTTTGGAGAATGTGTCCCAAGAGATGAAGATCATACGGGTGAGGCAAGCTTCTGAGCTGACTTCCAAGATCCGTTGACATGCAGGATGGGATATATCTGCCAAATGTCAATGACTTTCTTACCAGGGCGATCTAACCCAAACATTTGGGATCTTCTTATGGGGACTGATAGAGATCTTCCACCTCACCTAGTAGGGCTCGGGCCACTCCATGTATCAATGAATGGATCTGTCCACATGTGCTGATAGTTTTTCACCCATAACACACATCATGCATTTGAAAAAAACATCACATCTTTTTATCTTTCAAATATGACTTTTATCTCTACGTTCTATAATATTATTAAACTTTTTTGTTTCTTTTGACTAACACATTAAACTAATTTAATATGTACTGTATTATATTTTGCATATTTTCAAACTTTTTGCTATAAATTTTATGTTATTTATATAAATGTCTCATTTATTATTTATATTTACAAATTTGAACATTAAGATAATGAGTTATATAGGTTGAACCTTAGCAAAATACTTCCTCTTCTTTTAGAATAGATTAGAAAGTTACTAAATTAATTAGTTCAAATATTTTTCAGAAGGCTTCCGTGAAGGAGTAGAAGTCTCTTTAGTCTCTGCCACCTTATTTCAGCCATTCTTCAATATTTTTAAGGGAAAAAAAAAACAAAAATTAAAATCCCAATCCTCTACTCCACAATCATTTAACTTAAAATTAAAATAAAAAAAATGATAGTTTAGAATCTAAAATTTAGAAATCAAAATATATTTCTATTTGGAGAATGGAATTCTATAATTTACCTAAGGTATAATGGATTTATGAACAATTAAAATGGTGTATGATTAGAGTATTTGTGTAGTGAAATTAGATATATATGTAAATTTAGTCAAACATGTTCATGGATATTAAAAAACATTCAAATAAAATATATGAACTACAAAAAAAGATCTATAAATTTAAGGGTTACTTAAATTAATATTTACTTTTTAAAAATATTATTTGACTAATACTTCAATACTATTAAATTTGGTTGAATAAAATATAATATCAAGTATCTTGTTCTGCTCCTAAAATATATAAATAATTGGTTTGATAAATACTTACTTATACTAGAACTTATCCAAGTAAGCAAATATTGTTCCAATGCATGTTTTATATTTTAACAACGGGAAAGCTATATAGAAACAACTTATATGAAAATCATGTCAAATTATTGGTAAACACAAATTTCTAGTCATAGCTCAACATATAAGTCACTTATTATTATTTTGGACGAGGAAAAAGAAAGAAAGAACTCTTAATATATAACATAAATATTTTAATTATTTATTTAAAAAAATAATGTTTTTTTATTACAACGTGTGGAGATGGAAAATCAAACTCGTGGTTGGAGGTATATGTCAATTACTAAACTATGTTCGCAAAAAAATAATGTAAAAACTTAATTGATTACCATTTTAAAAATAGAATAAAAATTAAAATGATCACGTGAGTCGAAACTCATTCCCTTCTCCTAACTCTAGTCACTTTAGACCAATGAGCCATGATCAACTACCTTAGAAATGAGTATTTCATATGTGTTTTTTGACATCAAATGTTGTAGGATTAGACAGTTGTTCCGTGAGATTAATCGAGATGTTCGTAAACTGGTCTTTTAACACGGATATAAAATAAAATAAAAGAAATAAAAAATTTTAGGACTCAAATTGCAATTTGGTACAAATTTACGTGTATATAATGACATCAAATCCCCTTCCTCAGAGTTAAGTCTTTTTTCGCTCTCTCTTTCTCTGGTTTTCTTCTCACAATGTTTCCAATTCCAAATTTCCATGGTTGGTCTTTATTTTTCTGTTTACTGCCATCTTAAAAAATAATCACTCCAATTCTTATATATAATCCGTTTTCAAATTTTATTTCTCTACCTTTTATATATATAAATATCTTCCTTCAGATCTCACCTCCAATTTTCTGCCACTCTGGCTAATCCGTGGTGGGCCAATCCGGTGGGCTTTCCGGCCACCGACCTGATGACAACTACTATCGGCGGCGGCGGCGGCGGTGGAAGGGATTATGATGATGAACAAGATGAGTCGAAGGAAGGCGGCGTCGTGATCGGAAACCGGCGACCCAGAGGACGGCCTCCGGGATCTAAGAACAAACCAAAGCCGCCGATTATTCTCACGCGCGACAGCCCTCACGTGCTCCGCACGCACGTGATTGAGATCGCCGGAGGAGCCGACGTCGCCGACAGCATAGCCCACTTCGCTCGCCGGCGGCAGCGCGGAGTTTTTGTTCTCAGCGGGAGTGGCACGGTGGCCGACGTCACTCTCCGGCAATCCGCCGCGTCCGCCGCCGTGATACAACTTCACGGCAGATTCGAGATTCTATCTCTGACCGGAACTTTTCTTCCCGGCCGAGCCCCTCCCGGCTCGACCGGCTTGACCGTGTACCTCGCCGGCGGTCAGGGGCAGGTGGTCGGAGGGACGGTGGTGGGCCCACTATTGGCGGCTGGGCCAATAATGTTAATAGCTGCCACTTTTGCCAATGCAACTTATGAGAGATTGCCATTACCAGAGGAGGGCGAGGACAATAATCAAGAAAGAGAGAGATCTCCGGCCGCCGCGAGCGGAGGAGATATGGGGGCGGCGCCGCCGGATCCTTTTAAAGGATCTTCAATTTGCGACATGACACCAATAAATCATCATGCGATTCTTCAAAATGAAGGACACCTTGGAAATTATGGGTATGGGGGCGGCCATCTTGTTTGAATTGATTAATTAGTTTATGTTTCACATTTAGTGTATAAATTTTAATTTTTGAATTTAATAAATATTTATATTATTACTTAAATGTTGTTAAAAGTTAGGTTATTTAGGACCCATTGGATAAAATTTTCGACTCAAGAATGATAAAACACTATTTTTATTTTGGACTAAATTAAAAACGAAAACAAGAAATTTGTTTGTGTTGTTTCCAAAATTTCTATAAAATATTTTTTGAAAAATGAAAAACAATGTTAAATACTCAAATTTCTTAAAAATTGAGAGCGAAAAACCAAAAACGAGAATGTTATCCAACAAGTTCTTAATAATTGATTTTCCAAAAAATTGTCGTATTAATTTCCAAACTAGTTTCACTTTTACCATAATTTACATTTAAGTTGGGCTTTTGTCAAAAATATGATTAAATTAAAAATGATGGAAGAATTTTAGGCCTCCTTTCAACCTCTCTAATTTTGTCCTATTTTTGACAAGTAAATAAATAAGTTTTGAAAATGCTTTTTTTTATAGAAATAAATAAAATAAAAAGACGCCCCTTTGTACATGAGAATTTCGAATATTTTATTCCACAAAAATATTCTAAAAGTATAGAATTACATGTCTAATTTACATTCTAAATATAGAATTACATGATTCACAAAAATCCAAAAGGCCCTCCCATGATTAACAAATTTGTTAGTTAATCATCATTAATATAGTTAATTTCCTCACATAAAACTATGAAAATGGATCGGATTTCACAAACCAAATCAACCTTCAAACCTCTCTACTGGTTGAAAACGCAAGTACCCCTGTAAGACAGAAGTTTCTAACACAGCCTAAAAATAAAAGCTTCTTTCATTTAAAAGGGTGAACAAAAAATGTACTCTTTTTTTCATGTAGCTAAAACTGGTTGAATCCAATGCAAGATTAATAATAACTGAAAAATGGTCCTTTATTGACCTGTTTCACCTTCATTGAAGACCATGTATTTTGGCAAATCTTGTATTTGCAGGAATATGTGATGTGTTCCACAATGTTCTTGCATAGACGACGATTATGCGTGATCGGAAAAATTGTGCAATATATTTCTATATTTCTACTACGACACTTCAAATTGACTTGACATAGTATCCCTATTTTAACTTTGCATGAAGTATCTGAGGAACCTGCAAATGGAATGCCATTTTTCAGTTGTTATCACTAATATTTAAAATGAAAAGGACTCAATAAAATGGTGTAAATTGTCGATACTTTCTGACCAAGCAAAATAGAGGAACAAAGTGGCATTCTGAATTGAATCCTTACCTGATGAGGTAGAAAAGAAGAAAGAAGGACAACACAAAATACACTGCAAGTCTACAAGTTCTCCACTTTATTTTTTGCTCGAAAACCTGTAGAACATGAACATAGACACGGGGAAATTAGGAGGATGCATGGAAATAGATCATTTACAAGATGAAGGTGCTATTGCTACCATACTTTTAGGGCTTAATTTTTCATATCTTTTTACTGGATATATTGATCATGATGGTGTTAGGTAACTTTTATGAAAAAATGATGGTTGTTTGTCTTGTTATGTATGAAGGAAAGTTTTGAGAGCGAAAGAGATCTTGAAAGTTCAATCCCACGATGAAATTGCAGCACCTGCAAAAGTTCTCTCTCCCTCTCTCTCGTCGTTTTTCCTTTCATTTAAGACAAATTTAAACAACCACAATTTGCCCCAAATAGGAAGAGCTAGACAAGGCTAGAAAAAGTACCATCTTGAATCGATCCATGGTTCTTGACATTATACCTCTTGAAGCATCCATTCCATTTCCCTGATTATGATAAAATCCGTGTAAATAAAGATGCTCCTATCAACTCAAGAGAACAAAAAATAAATAACCTCAAAGAAATGACATACCATTCGGTCAAGTAAATTATTATGGCTCTCCACTTCTTCGTGAATGTCACCTGTTAACTATTTCAAGTAATACATACATCAAGAGCTGCTATGGATCAAGACGAATCAATAATACTGGTTGGTGGGGAGGGAGTATTAATATATCATTAGTCATTATAAGGGAATTTGACCCAAGAGCTCTATTTACCACTATCGCAACTTTAATATTATTTAATTACACCCACTCAATATTAACCAGTTCGTTCATCCCAGAGCTTTATTAGCAATACATTCTTTTGCATTAAAGGTATGGCACTTTCAGCCAATAAGGAATCATATTTGTGAAAGAGCTCACTACCATACTAAAGTGCAGCTTTTAAGATAGTTTAAGAAAGTCTCGAAGAATAAGGTTCATATCCTCTATCATTTTCTTGTATAATTACAGAATCTGAAGCAAGAGGATGAAAGTAGGGATTGCTAGATGATCAATAAATTAAGATGCACGTACAGCAAATAGGCAAAAGTTACAAGATCTAAATGCTGAATTTAAAAAAAAAAAAAAAAGTTTCCTAATTAAAATGATTATGAGCTTATAGCATAGAAAGAGTCACTTCAACTTATAACATTGAGTCTATCATGACTTCAAAAGGATATAACAGAGATCAGATATAAATAATTTGAATGTTAAAGAAGATCTCCCTGCTGAAAAGTTAAAACTAACCCTCTTCAGAATAGAAACTCTATCTTCCAAAGAATGGAGAGCTTTGTCATTGTCATGCTCTTTAATTTCGACAGAAGAGCTTGTCCTGAGACCACCCTCCTCAAGGTCATCAAATAGAGCAGATCTGGAAGAACGGTGCTCCCTATGAACAAAAATAATACCCCGTGGGTTCAAATGGAACAATATGTATTGTACGAAAAATGAGATACTGGTATTTAAGAATAGTATATATGTAACACATTTTAATCAATAAAAACCCAAAATGGCTAAATCGTGTGATTAACTCCATGTTACCAAGGAGGGATAAGTAATGGGCTTACAAGAGTCTAACATCCAGAATCACAGAATTACAGTGATGTTTAACCTCATTATGATTACATTCAAATTACCATCCAAAAATATGCACGAAAACATAAAACCACGGCACGAAAACTTATAAACAGTTGCAGCTTTATAGCTTGTCATCGATTACACATCACACGGCCTTTTCTTCTTCACTCCTAATTTCTTAAATAAGACAAAATATCATAGAGATTCGCACTTGTGTCTCGTGGTTATACTTGATAGAAATCCATACCTTATCGAACAAGATTGATGGAACGACCTAGTCTTCAGTCTACACACTGTTTTGTCCCAATTGCTTCGTTAATAGCTCAAAAGTACGTCATACTCGAGTTATAACACAAGATCAGAATAAAATTCATACGAAAGCTATCGAATATGAGATCGCAGCAACTCCACACGAGTAAATTATAACAACAAAAGAGGGCATCAGTCAGGATTTCAGACACCAATGAAGTTTATTCAGTCTAAGCAAAACGAGGTCGCCAGATCCAAATCATATAAGTTCGCATTGCAGCAGAACAATCCGGTGGAATATTTAAATCATATTAAGTGAATTCTAGGGTGTAACCGAGGACAAAGAAACCGTGCATCGACTAAAATTTCGAACACGAACCTTCTGTAGTTCATCATCGGCCGGGTTCTGCAAAATGTGTTCCTCTTCCGCCAGGATCAGTTGAAATTGGACAGCGATATTCGATTTGATCAACCCGCAATTTCAATTCAGACAGTAACAGATTGCGAGAAAACTTATTCCGTTCCGTTATTGGGAAAATTAGGACAACAGAGGAAATCTGTAGTGGGTTGGAAGAACTTGAAACCCCTTCCCTTCGAGCTGCCTCTCCAGTATTGTAATATTTTGACGAAGTTGTTGGGCCTAACTGAGTTTCAAACTTTCAGCCCAGGCCCAAAATGCCACTTATTAAGGCCTTTGCGAAATCTTGTATCGTGAAAATGGATGGGGCCCACTTCACTGGAATTCAATTTGGCAGAGATTTAAAATTGAAATTAGGTAAGAAAAATTTTGAAATTGCATCAATTTGACTTCTTTCCATTGAAATTGAGAGAGAGAGAGAGATTTAAATTTTAATTAGGTTAAAAAATATCGAAATTGAATGAGATTACAAAATTATTTTAAAACCTAGGACTAATTGGGTAAGAAAAATTCTGAAATTGCATCAGATTCAATAGATTGTTTTTCGTAAACATGAGTAAAAATTATTATTTTAAAACTTAGGATTAATTATTATTCAATTTGACTTCATTCCTTCTCAAACTATTTCTTCTTTTAATTAGTTAAGATCAAAATAAATAAAGATAAGAAACTATATTGGACTTATATTTTAGGTACATACATAATATTGGAAAATGGAGCACTTAATAATGCCAGTACCATCAATTAATGTGTGGTTCTCTTACCAATCTGCAATTGAACTAATTTAGACAACAAATTTAGAATTCTCAAAGATGATGCAATTGGGCTTTCTTTCATAAAATTAATAAATTAAAGGTTAAAATATTATTTTGGTCCTCATTGGTTCATTTTAGTCCTAGTACTTTGAAAATGTTTATTTTGGTCTTTGTACTTTAAATTTTGGTTCATTTTAGTCCTGTGCTTTGGAAATATTCATTTTGGTCTTTTTATTTCTAAAAAGTTATCATTTTAGTCTCTTTTTGTAAAATTTTAATACAAATTTTATATGTAATAGAAACTTTTAGTATAAAGTATATTGGTTTTAGTGTGATGTTGAAATTGTGATTAAAAAAAAGAGATTAAAATAAAATTAAGGGACAAAATGATTACTTTTTAAAAGTACAGAGATCAAAATGAACATTTTGAAAGTATATGGACCAAAATGAACCAAAGCTGACCAAACTAATATTTTAACCTAAATTAAATGTTTGAGATTTTAACCTACAAAGTGTCCACCTCTTCGTACCTTTGTACTTAATTCAAATAATCTAATAATATAATCCAATAGAGGAACTTAAGAATATTGATGTAATGCCAAAGCGAGCTAATTGTTATTGTCTTGAAATCTACTCCCTTGCTTTCTTCTTTTTCTTACACAATTCTTCTGCAGCAAACTTCATCGGCACCGTAGACTTCCAGATTTGCAAATGAGAGAGCTCCCCTTGTAAGTGAGAGAGCTGGTACAAAGGAAGAAGAATATAGATTCAAACTAAAAGAGGGTTATAATGTCTTGAATTAGTTGTGACCATATTTGCAAAAAAAACTTTGATTTTGAATCATGGAATTTCTTTTTTTTTTTTTTAATTCAAAAAATGTGGAAGAGATGATTAAAACCATCAACATTTTTTTAAAAAAAATACATGTTTTATTCATTAAGTTACGCTGCGAGATATTTTTATTATTGCATTGAAGACCAAAATTATAATGTGAAACAGACTAGATGAAATTAAAAAGGTGCACATGGCAGCAGACTATGAACACCCAACTACATGGGCAAATAAGCTTCAAGACCACAATGAATGCAACTCCATCCCATTATGGCTTGGCTGCTCAGAGCTGTGAAATCCACCATATTTATTACTTCCAACTTTATGGAAATGTTTGGACCATTTTGCCATTCCCTTAAGTTGGTTGAATATATTTATTTGTTTGTTTATCATGGTTTCAAGAACCAAGGTACTTCAATATGCAGTTATGTTGAAGAAAAAATAATAAATTACAAGTTTAGCCTCCCAACCTTCAAAGTTATTTAATAAGTCTCTAAATTTTTCGTGTTGTGTCTAATAAGCTTCCAAACTTTACGAGTCAAGTAGGTTCTTTAACTTCCAATTTTGCAATGAAACATAACTGACATAAGTTTAACGGAAGAAAGCGAAATACAATGGGAGTGGTGAGTGTGTGTAGCAGAAATGTCCTGTGAGAAATATATTTCATCCATTGATTTGGTATGATATAGATATGAATATGGTTGTGATTTAAATACATCAAGCTACAGTTTTTATATTTAAATTACAACCACCCAAAAAAAAACGGATCGTGGAGCGGGTCGGGGAGAAATTGGGGAGAGAAAACTAACTGTATATCTATGAGCATGGATGCTCAAGTTGGGGATCAGGAGATTTGAGCACCAAATTCCCTTCATTTGAAAGGCTCAGCCTGATTTCTTAATGCAGGAAAACAGAAATTTTCCACCTGAAAAATGCAAAATTTCATGTAGTTCTTTAATAGAGATACTCAATGTTCTATAAGCTCAAGAACAAACAAGAAGGCAGTGCACAAGAACAGCAAACTAAGTAGAGTTTAGAAATTCAAAGTGTGATCTTAATCTGATGTTTTTACTACATTGTTTATGACTATGAAATGCAATGCAAAAAGACTGTTTGAACGACCCACTTCTAGCTTTAAACAAAACAAGCAACGGGATGTTCATCGAGAAGAAAGATGAAAAATGGCGGTGTTATGAAACTATATGTGTATCGATCCAACAAAACATATACAGATTCTAGGGAGAGGACAGTGTTTATTTTTCATATTCATTAACGATGCAAATGAGTAATTTGGATTGAACTTTCATACCTCTCAACAGCAAACAGTGACTAGTTGAAGTCCCCCCATCAATCATGTCATTCAGTGTGCTAAATCTACTCAATATTCACAATTCTATTGAACTATAACATTCCTCTAAATGCTCAACCGCCTGTACCGTTATTTTTCAAGTAAGATACGAAGCTTTACACTGCAACTGCCACTCCATACAATCTTCGAAATCGAAACTACTAGCGCAATCCAGCAATGCATTTTGCTGATGCTCGTAACGGCAAATGTAGTTCAACCCGACAAGAAGCTCACATATGGCTTCCTCTGTCTTCTTGCGATCGGCAAAGTATAAAGTTTGGATTAGCAAAACGTTTGTCCGAGTCACGATCTGGTGTTGCTCGAAGTTACGCTCGCTTTGCCACCGAATCATGTTGTGCGCCAACGGAGCGAGCCAACTCAAGATCCCATCGAGAGTCTCCTTCCAATCATGGGCAACAGGAGCATCATATATGGCCAGGTCCTTAACATAAGACTTCAAATGTGTTTTCAGGGATGATCTTAAACTTGTTGGTAACATCTGATACAAATCATCCCGGGCTTCGTCGCCAACTAAATGAGGGTAACGAAGCAACTTTTCGATGACAATGATGATATTTGCATAATGCAAAGCTAGAGCGGAGCCTCCGACCGTTGAAACTGGTGCATAGCCAGATAACCTACTCTTGAAGCCGAAATTTCCTCCACTGTTAGACATCACACTGTTGTTTTGTCTTTGATCCACCCCAAATGGAACAGAGAACTGCACCTGACTGAAAGAACTGAAATGGCTGGAGCCACTGTTCCTAATGCTACGTCCGGAGATTTGGCAGCTCCGATCGTCACGGTCAGCATAACCGTCCTCGTCCTCGTCCTCATCATCCAACTTTGAAACTGAACTACTTAAACTAAGGCAGTCCATGAGAAGTCTCCCAGGATTGGTTCCACAAGGAAAATTGAAGTCATCAGGTGTAAACAATGGAACCTCACCTCTTCTCAAGCTAACTCGAGACTTGAAACTCGACCCCCGTCTCGGTCTGGGGCATTTATCAATGGACGCACGTTTCGATTCCAACGGCTCTACAACATTCTCGTTCACATCCTTCTTCAGAAAAGAGTCCCCAAATACCAAATGAATCCTCGCATAAACAGTACAAACAGTTCTGGCCAGCAATTCAACAACCTTATCATAAGTTTGGTTCCAAAGAGAAATCTCCTTCAGATGCCCCACGCCCTGTTTCTGCCATACAAGTTTCTGTTCATATGCTTTTTTACTCTCCTCGTGCTGATTGTTCTGAAATTTCTTCGCAGCTTGTTCCAGTTCATTCAAAACCTCCATTTCAGTGTACAAATTGGCAGTAGCATTCACATACCTCTCCATTTTCCTCATCATCCCCTCCATATCCTTCACCAGAAACCCCAATTCCTTCACGTTTATGACTCCATTAACGATATCCAAGTAAACATGCTGAAACCCCTGAAGCGCAGGCTGAGAGCATTTCTTCCCAAGCCTTGAAACCACGTTCGCCACTCGGTTTAGATCCTCGAGTTTCTCGGCAACCGCGAGCTCCAGAAGATGAAGCTCGTCGGAGGATACGAGGTTTTTTACTCCATCGGAGCTCAAGATCTCGTTCTTGAGCTTCGAAATTGCGGAATGAGAGAGAGATTTGTGAAGATAAATCGTTTTGGACATTACATTAGCAACTTCGAAAGAGAGAATACCGATTGTTTGCTTGGTATTGGAGGAGATTTCTGGTTTTTTAGGGTTCTTGTTGTTCTTGGAAGGTTCGAGAAGGGCGTGTTTGAGATTAGAGCTCACCTGGTTCCCCATTTTCACTAACCAAGGCTCCGCAACCATTGCTCCTCCTCAATTCGCTCCTCGATTCAAATGAAAACAGATCTGGGAATCGCTAGAAAGCGAAAACCCCAGAAGAAAATCGACCCAAATCAAACTCAACCCGAGCGACCTGCAGATCTGAAGAACAAATTCGAGCAATGTTAACAATAATCGAACAGTTGGGGAGTGGAAAATTAATTCATGGGGTCGCATTAATGAAGTGTAAGAGATGATTACTGAGCGAGAATTGTGAGCTCGAGGGGCGGCGCTGAGCGGCTCATTGAGGAGATTTTGAGAAACACAGCGGCGGAAACAGAACAGAACCCAGAAAGAGAGGGAAAGAGATGGAGGGAAAAAAGACGCTCTCTGTGACTATTTTTGAAGGTCAAAAATGGTGGAAACAGTGATGCATTTGTTGTAATTTCTGCGGATTTGGTACCTACTTTGACTTCTCCATTTCAAAATTTTTCCAATTTGAATCAATTTTCTTCTCTAGATTTCAAAATTCTGATCAATTTCACTGAAATTTTAAAGGGTCAACTTAAAATTTGAAACTGTGCAATAATTTGGATGTTTGTTTATATAAAAATTCAAACTTTTTCTTTTCTGTACAGTGGGATCTTTATGAGTGATAATCCCCAACCTTTAGACTAATGTGCAATTAAACAATTGAAAAGTGAGTGATCTGCTTCAACTGTTCCAAAGATTTCCAAACTTTTTTCTTTCTAAACATTTTGAAGAACTGTATACAAAAATATTTGAAGAGGGAGAGAGAGTTTGGTAGTAAAGTGGGTGAGACTTTATTTCTATATTGGTGAGGAGAAAATTTACCAAAAAAAAACAGATTTAACTGTTCATATTCATTACATGGTCAATCTTTTTACTGGTCGTTTTTCTGACATATATATCCAAGAAAGCTGGAAATTTGTAACTGATGTTAATGTGTAGCTTAATTGTGATTTTGACCTTTCACCACACAAATTGAAATTTTTTTACTATAATTTAGATCCATAATCATTTAACCATTGCTATATTGGTTGATTGAGAAACTCATCAAATTTTAAGAATGATATCAAGCATCGTTAAAATTTTGATAGCTAAATAAGTGGTCATTATAAGACATGAACTTATTCTTCTAATTTCTTTTTTTTTTCTATCCCCAAATAATTACAGTAACTATGTTTAAAAAAAGTTGTTTTTAAATCATCATGATATTTCAAAATAAAATTTATTTTACCCACACACAGGGCTAAGGTTTTAGTAGGTTCTTGGGCTGGGAAGATGCAAATGATTTTGTTCCAAAATTTGTGTACCATAAAATAAAAAAGTTATATGATTTAAGTACACCTGCTCCTTCACTTTCATTATGGTGTCACTGTGCCTTTGCCTTCAAAAGCATGCCAATCTATGACTTGGAACTTTCTCCTCTCTCTCTTCTTTTTTTTTTCTGAATTATTTTCTTTTATTCATTTTGTTATTATCTGTACTTTCAAAACGTTTATTTTAGTTCATGTAATTTTAGAACTTATATAAATACATAATATAAATTTATGGTTATGTTTTAAAAAATTTAATAATTGAAGTGTCATGTTAAAATTATGATCGAATAAATTGAAAGGATCAAAATAGACTTAGAAGCTATATTGATAATAGAAGACCTAAAATAAGTGTTTTGAAAGTAAAAAGAATGGATGGAGATAAAAGTAGTATTTAAATATTTTTATTTTAATAATTTTGTTTGGCTTTTGTTTTTCTGCCATCGGCACAGGTAAAAAGGAAAAGGGGGCAAGGCCCATATGAAATCATTGATCAATTAATGTGGATGGGAAAAAGGAAAAAGATTATTATAAAAATGCTTAAATCTAATGTGTCTTTTCCAATCTTCTTTCTCCAGCTCACAAAGCCCATGAGAGGGGTTTGATTGGGATATACATTAACAATATATATCCAACCATATAAATACATATAATTAAATTGACCCA